AGACCGGAGATGAAGCTCAAAAACCGGAGTCTCCGGTCTAAAACCGGAGAGGTGGCAACCCTACTCGTCCTCCTCCGCTGCCGCCCTTCTCCCCTCCTTTGGCCCTTTGATTTCCCGCGCTGGGGTTGTTCCATGAAGCGCCGTGGGAAGATGATGATGATGATGATGATAATAATGAAGATGGCGATGGCGTCGACGATTATTAAGATGAAGATGGCTATGTGACGACGATTTTGATGACAATTTCGATGACAACAGCAACGATTTCGTTGACAATGGCGTCGACGTGACTTTCAAAGCGAGGATAATCGGGCAGTCGATTGCTATTGGCGCGCAGGGTGGAAGAGATGACATCTCACGCGAGAATGAATAGTGGGAGATCTTCCCAAAGACGAAATAAGGCCGCCTAAATGTTGTGTTGTGTTTAGACACGATGGTAATCTCGTGAGTTCTTCAGCATTTCTATTTTTCTCTTTCTTCCTATTTTTTTAAATTTCATTCAGTTACTGTTTCCGCTCAGGGTTAGGTAGTTCAATATGTGGTCACCTCTTGAACAAATGAGGTTTCTCTGAAAGCTCAAATTGCGAATAAGGATAGAAGCAAACGGTAAAACGCATTTTTAAGTGTATGGCACTTTGACTGCAGAGATGGTTGTTTGACAGGGATTCACGAAATTGAAGACCTACTATTATCTTAACCGAAAGCTCTTACATTTGCGGTGCAAATATTTATTGATATTTAATACTGTTGTTAATGTGTTTGTCGGGTCGAACAGGAATTTTTGTAACAATAAACATCTTTCAATTTTTAGTGTAAAATGATTCATTTAAGCACCGTTAAATATATCTCCAAATGTTTCTCTAAATTCCTTTATTATCTCGTAAATATTGCGTCCCTGTGGGGTTTTCAATGACTACTTTTTTAAGTTTGCAACTTCATGATTGATGAATATGAATGGTGCATTTCGAACGTAGGAAGAAAACTTTGTGTATACGATGGTTCAGTAACTTAGTGACTTTTCTGAAACTGCAAAGACAAATTACACAAAATAATTACATACCTTAGCTTGTTGTATTTCATTGGTAAGATGCATTGCAATACCCCGTACAATGTTGTTGATATCTCGCATGTTAGCATATCTGCAAAACCACAATCAATACAAATTGCAATAAGTACTCCTTTTCTTAGACACAACAAAATAAATTAACCTTTAATTTTAAATAGTATTAGCGTGTTCTCTCGTGCAATATGTATCGTTTTACAATTAAAACTACTATTGCTGGCTTTGCAAAGTAATCTAGGCAAACATTCAGTAACACACACTACATATACAAAATCGGATTTAATAACCTCAGTAATTTAAACAATACTTTTTGCCTTTACACCTATCTAAGAAAAATTGTCGTGGCGAGCGAAGAGGCAATTATTTTTGGCAAACATGTTCCATTACCACTTTAACAGACTGTTGTCCGCGATGGCTTAGCGAATACTAATAGGTAAAAATTCATTCCAACACAAATTTAACGAGTATATTATTATAATCTTTCGTAAAATCCAATACCATCGTTGAAACGGGGTGTTTATGCTAATAGGAGCGATACTTACGCTATCTGGATTTCAGCGAATCGATTGACAAGGAAGTCTAACGCTGGGTCGACGCCGCGTGGATTGCTGTACACAGCAGTAAAAACAGCTGCGGCGTCCTGGGAGCGCACCACGCCGGGATTCAGAGAATACTCCAGGTATCTGGAGGAATTAAACCAGTTAGAACATATTTACACGCTTCCTTTTGGCGAACGATTCAAGAGTTTAGATAGGTCGAATCGAGGTTTTCGAATCTCCTTTGTTAAGTGTTTTCCAAGAGATGGCTGAAGTGTTAGTAGGATAGAAATTACATTATTACCAATACTACCAATATTACGAGAAAGTATGTGATGTTAGTTTTAATGAATTGTTTGTTCAAAATTCGTGATTTACATGAATATTTGATGTGTGGTTACACAATGAGATAAAACATTAGTGAAGTGTTCTCTTGTTACCGCATTTTCCATTTTGTCGTTCATGGTAATTTTTAGGCGTACAGTATATGCCGGAATATACTCAAAAGCGTACTAACCAAATAGCTAATACACCTGGTAACTGAAGTAGAAACTTACAACTGAAGGATGTCGATATCATTCGAACAACCCAGCGCCGAAATCAGCAAGCTTCGCTCTCCTGGATTTTCGGTGAGTTGAAGTCGGCTTAACAGTTTCTCCCATACGTCCGTGCCTTCCTCCTTCACACCATAACAGTAGACGACGCTCCTTAGATCTGGTTCAATCCTACACGAAATATTTGTTCATATTAGTGACAGCTATAAATGCTGCCTAAGCATTTCTCTAATCCTTTAAAAAATATTGGTTGTGGGAGAATGTAATAAAAATGGAAAAACAAAAGCATCCACGACTTCAAAAAAGTAATAAATCGCCATACACATCATATTTTGACGTTAATTATATGATTAGAAATTAGTTGTAATCTATGTGTTAAATATATAATTTTATTAGAAGTTGTGATTGTAGGTTTTCTAGAGTTCTGTAGAATAAAAGCTACTTATATCATGAATTTAACCTGAAATCCTTAAATAAAATTGTTGCTACATATCCTCAATGGTAAAGAACGCCTATTCACTGACTCCCTGAAGGATAAGAGTCTTATTTTTCGGTTTCATCATAATTGAGTTTAATTTGTTCAGTTAGACACTTTCTCGCAGTCAGAGAAACAAGTGTTTAGCTGGTGCAAGAAGTTCAATCAAGAGTCTTAGTCGGATAATTCAGCAAGTTGTATCTCAAGCGAAATGAAGTAAAAATGTTTTGAACAAAATTTTTGATACCGTAAATAAACATTTTTATTTTTACTTCTACTTACTACTTCGTAGAAACATAAGTTTTGGAATGTTGCAAGAAAAAGTGGGGGATATGCAGTAATGTTGTAAATTACTTTCTGGCAACCGTTCAAGTCACAATTCACGTTTTGTTGCCCCTTGATACCGAAAACGTTTTTTTCCTCAAAGCGTCCGTCCTGACCGTACATGACAATTGATCGTCACACACACACTCGTGTGTGATCATACAACGATCATACAACACGATGTTCTCTTAGCAGAACAAACAGCTTTTCCATTTCCCGTGAACTAGCAAAGATGCGCATGACGCCGTCTTGCCGTTTCCATTCTAGCCGCGCATTTCAAACAACGCAAATTTCGTAGTTTGTTTTATTAATAAAGGAAAACTGCAATCTGTTCAGTAATGTGTTCTCCACTCCTAATTTTGTTCTCTTGTTTTTGGTACCTCACGTGTTTAAACCCAGTGAGAGCGTAGGCTTCCGCGGCCGGAGTCAGTATTTACTTGGCTGTCCGGGTGACGCCCCGTCCATGGCGAAGGTGCCGTCGTTTCGGTCGCCATTCTGCAAACGTCCTCAGGGCGTAATGCAGAATGGCGACCGAAACGTCGGCTCCATCGCCATGGACGCGGCGTCACCCGGACAGCCAAGTAAATATTGATTAAACCAGTTCACTGGGAGCCAAATAGGAGGGACATCAAAATCGTCCTCTTTGCAGCTTTAATGAATATATATGATCCTATTTGTTTGCGAACTCTCGTCTCTCGACACACGGAGCCTTCAACTTACTCCTGTGCGCGGCGGAGAAAGGCGTCGAGGCGGTCGCGCGCGTCCTGCAGGCAGCTCGCGTGCGCCGCGCCGCACGCGCGGGCCAGCACCTGCGCGCGCAGCAGCTTCTCCAGGTGCGAGCCCTCGTCCGCGAAGCCCAGCTGCGCGTACACGCCGTCCAGCAGCTCCAGGAGGAAGGCCTGCGCGCACGCGCCCCCACGGGCGGTTCACGTACGCGCGCGCGCACACACACACACACACACACACACACCACTTTCGGACAGAAGTTTAGTAACGATTGCGCGAAAGAAAATTTGGAATGCGAATTAAAACTTACACACCTCACATACGAAATTTGATTTCGAAAATTTTATTATTTATTTATTTTATTATTCCATACCCAACTCATTCGAATTTTGCATTACTTCAGCATATTTGCAGTACGATTTGTTTTATTTGTTAAACATTTAAGATAGGCGTAATATGCATATTTATAACTCATGACTCATAATGTTGGATCAAAAATTTCTTGTATTAACTGCAAATCAGATTCGAGCCAATTCTACGCTCGTGTTCTGAGAGTTTGCTGGATTACTCCGCGTTGCTACCTGGGACACGTCTGCATCAACAAACGAAGGGATGTCACATCACCATCACTTACTTGCGGGCTCGTCGCATCAATTGAGAAGTCAGATTGTGAGATAAACAAACATGCAGGCTTTCCATGCGACACATAGTAAAGGCATTTGCGTCCAAGCTAAATCGTATTAGGAGCTACAATACCTCGTTCTGAGACGGTGAATTATCTAGCTTTCTAAATTCAAATATCAAATAATCACCAGCATCCGCGCGACTTCCATTCTAACTACCAATGCCACCGTCTCCACAAAGACCCACTTCACCCACAACCTCCACCGCCACCATTACCACAACAATTTCCATTTTACAGACATCAGCCACCTCAACTATGCCCCCCTCCCTTAACACCCTGCAATACATCAATACTATCACGACCATCCTGCGAATAGATCCATCACTACCATCCGACAAACACCACTATTCAACTTCCATTAAAGTCACCACCCTAACAATCGACCACCTCTCACGCACCTCCTACGCAACTACCATCGTACCATATGCCACCATCACCCTACTAACCGCCTCTACCTTTCCCCACCACCATCACCACCACCCTAATTTCTCAGCCACCATAGCACTGTAACTACCACCACCTCTATTCCAGACACTACCCGCAACAACACAATCAATAATCACCACAACAGTCTTGCATTCTGCGCTTTCACAAAGAATATTACTGAAAACAACAAATTAACAGAAACAATACCACAGCCACTACAGACAGTATATCTGTCAGAGGCGTAGCTCCTCGGGCTCCAGCTCAGAACGTCCTATTGGGTGGGATTGCTTACTGCTACGCTCAGGATATCTCCCACCACCACTACCACTGGCACAACAACGCATACCCGACCATGGGCCACAACATCGCAACTATATCACACTGACATCAATACCGCTACCATCACCATAGACAACTATATCAATCCTGACAATACTACCGCATCTGACACCACCATCACCCCCACCATAACCCCCACCGGCGCCGGAGATACCATTTCGGTATTCACTGTAATCACCGACACTACCAAAGACATTACTGCAACCCTTCCCACCTCAAACTTCAGCTCCACCATACCAGATTATTCGTCGAAATCACCACCACCACAGATATTACAACAATCAGCATTACCACAACGCTCACCACAAGATGAAATACTTTCACCACCACCATCACATCACCTAACACCATCACTACACCACCACTCCATCACACCACCGACCATCACTATCAACACCATCACTATACCACCACCATCACTATACACCACCAATCACTATCACACCACCATCACTATCACTATACCATCACCACACCACATCACTATACATCACACCCATCATCACCACACATCACTATCACCACCACCATCACTATCACCACCACCATACTATCAACACCACCATCACTATCACCACACAATCACTATCACACCCACATCACACCCACTACCTCGATCCCATTAGCAAGTATAGCACTGTCACTATCACTACTACTACTACCGCCACCACCACAACCACTACCATTACCACCACAACTACCACTACCAACAGTAAAAACAATGGCAACCAGAACCGCGCCACCCTGCTCGGTCGAGTAAAGCACGGACCGCGAAGAGTCCTTCTTCGTCCTCGTTGGCGAGCAGCCGCCCCAGGAAGTCGAGGCCCGAGAAGGCGGCCGTCCAGGGCACGTAGTCCGTCTCGCGGGCCAGGTAGCGTGCGAAGTCGAGCGCGGTGGCGTAGGGCAGCAGCGCGGCGCGCGCCAGGTTGAGGGCGTCGTCGACGAGCTGCGCGCGCTCCGCGGGCGCCACGACGGCCGGCGCGGCCCGCAGCGCTGCCCCCAGCCGCTGCCAGTTGGCGGCCCAGTAGTTGACGCGGAAGTAGCCCGTGCTGTTCACCACCAGCCACTGCTCCGTCGACTCCACCGCCACCTCGTAATTAATGGACGTGTCCGGCGTCGACCAGAGGCGCGCGGAACTCGCGCCGCTCTGGTGGTGGATCTGGTACTGCACGTAGTAGAGTTCCGTCAGCCGAAGGGGGTAGCTGTTGATGTCGCTTAGATTGAACCGTTTCTGAAAATGGGGATTGTTGATGTTTTAATATTCATGTAGAGGTAGGGCATGTGTTGTGTGAAGAAGACTGAACTGAACGATTGAAAACGACAAAATGTTTGAGGAAGAACAAAAGGCAATGGATATAATGGTCTAAGGGAAATACTAGTAACGATTAATGTAGAGGTAATGGAATAGAAAATGTGTAAATGCAGGAGAACATTGCCATACTGGAAATATCTCTAGATAGAGTTTCAATACATATTCAAAAATATTTTATTGACTTGAGAAAATTTGTGATAGTGAATGAATGAGATTGAAATTGCTGTTTTATAATATTACGTAACTGTTACCAATAATACGAAACACTATGTGCTATTGAGGACCATGAGCGATCACCTGAGTGACGAAGACCGTGTCGGGGCTCCACGCTTCCAGCGTGAGCACCGGGAAGCCCGGCTTCCGCGTCCAGTCTGCGATGGCCTCCCAGAGGAACTCTGGCGTGACGTCGGAAGGCGCGAACTTTTGAAGCGCTGCGAAGAGGTCCTCTGGAGTAGCGTTGTCGAATTTCCTGCGCGGACATAATAGTTATTTACTCACCATGGACGTTATAAGAATTCTAATGATCTAGCGTAAAAAGAAAACCGAGGGCTTTTTCTCGCCCGAGATCAGTTAACGTCCGTACACATGGTTTTAGTTTTTACCTAATTTTAATTTACTAGATCTTAACTCAACTCGTTGTTTCTTTTCATATTTCTCTCCCATAAATCCCCCCCCATAAGAGAACATATAGCATTATTCTACTGTTTTCATATTTCCCTCGTAACCTCGATCCTCTCGATCCAGGTAAGTAATGCAGTGTGTATCGAAGACAATAAGGAGCAATAAGATATCAGGTAAAAATAAATTATTTACTCTAAAAGGCTGGAAAGTGGGTTCTTTTTCCACGATTTCGAGTTAAGGAATGAGACATTTTTTTAATCTTCTACTTCAATTAACACTTTTCAGCCGTTTCACATATTAAGTGCGAGGTTTTATTTAGTGCTGTCACTTTTCTTTTAAAAATGCAGAAAATGTATTGTCGACCATAGAAAACGGATGTCATATAAAGAGCAGAAAATAACTCACTAGAATAATTGTAATGGAATGGTTTCATCAGTTGTCGAATTATTAATGATGCAAATACAGACGGAGAAAGGTAATGTAATTGTATTCTGAATGAAACTTTTCAGACCTCTGCTAATGTAGTTTGTATTGTAAATAAAAGAAATATGAAAACAAATTGTTCTGAGACTAGAAAAAGGAAATTTTTTTGCAAAAGGAACGTTTAGATATTACTAGTGCAACTACGTTTACTGTTGACAATAATGTTCGTTAATTCAAAGGTGGAGTCAATAGTCACGAGTATATGACGGTGTTAATATGTAAATGATTCAGTTTTGTTTTGAAAATTAATGAGTCGAGTCTATATCGTTAGTAATTAGTGCGTACATTGTATAAAACGTCACTGCTAAGATGGATCTATGATGTTTTATTCTATGATGTTCACATGTTTTATGAGATAATCCAATACGAAACGGTATGTACTGTAATTAAGAATCTAATCAGTTTCCATCAGCAATGTAAAAATAGTAAAATTGCATAGTACGAAGTAAAAATATTTTTGCATCAGTATTAATAATTTGAATAAATATTTCTCACTAACGTAAATTAAGTAAACAGAGATTTTTAAAATAAATAACAGTGAATTATTGTTGGTAAGGATCAACGATTTTGAAAAGATAGAAGGAACGTTTAAAGTGTGAGTTTTATTCGAATCGTGGAAGGCTGCCTTTGAATGATTTGTGGACAAATTTTTCCAACAGATTTGAAACAAATATGCGATTCTAGAAATTTCTCAATCTCTTTCAAATGTAATATTTTTAAGAGAACAATTAATATTATAAATCTGATTATTTTAATCTTGAAGTGAATAATATCTAGTATAAATTTGTGATCCCTACATCTGTTTACGACGTTTTCGTAAATTCATTTAAATTTGTGATACAAATATTTTCGTTAATTTTAAATTTGGAATATTCGTTGTTTTTTTCTACTGGAATTTGTATAATAATAATAATAATAATAATAATAATAATAATAATAATAAATAGTGTAAAAATTTACTTTGAGTGTATGTTTCCCTACTTACTAAACATAATATTGGCACTCCTTACCTTTCATCAAGATATGCTTGTAAGGCGTTTCGAAAATTCTCTTCTCCCAAAATATTTTGAATCATGCGTATCAATGCACTTCCTGGAACCAAACAAATGTTTATTTTTTCGCCTTGTTACTACGCATGTAGTAAAGAGAAAATTTAAGAATAAAGAGAGACCGTCTACCCGACCGTCTCTCTGCCTGTTTTGTGGGTCTTTGGTGACGAAAACTCAATTGACGACAAAACACCCGACTATCTATCCGGCTGTCATTCCATATGTTCATCTATCCGTCCGTCCCTCGTTGTATACGTCCGTGTATCCAACCGTTTGTCTGTCCGTCCGACTGAATGTTCGTCTCTTCATCCGTCCGTCTGTCTGCGTGTCTGGCCGTCCGACTGAAATGTTCGTCTCTTATCCGTCCGTCTGTCTGGTGTCTGGCGTTTGTCTGTTTGTCTTCTGTCTGTTATCTGTCTGTCTGTCTGTCTGTCTGTCTGTGTGTGGGTCTGTCTTTTGTGTGTGGTATGTCTGTGTGTCTGTCTGCTATTCTGTCTATTTGTCTATCTTTGTCTGTCTATTGTCTGTCTGTCTGTCTGTCTGTCTGTCTGTCGACGACGACCCGACCGAGGCCCCGTCCGTCGTCTCCCGGTCTGCACGCCGCGTCTGCGTGGTCTGCCGCCCGCTGCCAGCCCGTTCCGCCGTCTGCCGCCGCTTTGCACGCCCGCCCGTCTGTCCGTCCGCCAGCCCGTCCGCCCGCCCGCTCGTCCGGCTGTATCTCTGTCTGTCCGACCGTCTGTCTCTCTGTCTGTCCGTCTGTCTCTCCGTAAGTCTGCCCGCCTCAAACTCAGATGCTCCTCCTTCCTTCGTTAGTTACGACGCCCAGGCGGGGCAACCTTCCCTCCTGGACGGGGTGGGGAGAGACAGGAGGGGCAGTAGGGGCAGGAGCGAAAACACTGCAGAGACTGAGAGGCAGATACTGAAAGAGTGTTGTGGTGACGAGTCAGAGAGGAAACTGAGTGATGCAGCCTGGCCGTGATTCCTGCTGAACAAGCCTGCCCGGACACTCTCGTACCCACACAGAGTGAGTCAGTTGAGATATCCGTCATGGTAGCCAGGTAAGAGCGCGACATTATTGCCGCCCCTGAGGCCTCGCCCCGAGGCCTGCCGCAAGCAAAAATTTTGCGACGCGGGCCCCTGGCAGACGCCGCAAAAGTAAAGTCCCATTCACAATGCAAACGAAAACATAAGCACAAGATCATAGACGTAAACATTAACATAAGTGATGGACTGCAGTATTCACAATGTCTAACATAAACGTATGCAAAATAAGAATTTGTGTTGGCTGTGAGACATCCTAGTTTATTATTGGTTGGATGTGAGAATCGATTTGGAGGTATCGACTGTGTTCATGGCCCATATGGCGTTAGTTTGTCTATCGACTGGACTCCTCTTTCGATTCTCGAGTATGAGTTAACGTACTGTGATTCGTTCATTTCGTATGTTAATTTCTTCAGCATAAGCAGGGAAGCTTGCAAGCTTTTAAATTAACGTCTTACATGTTAAGCTTGTGCGAACGCATTGTGAAGAAGTCCGCGTATGGACGTTATCGTAACTTTTACGTTAACGCCTTGCTTATGCTAATGTTTGCACGGTGAATGGGCCTTAAGGCGCCGCGACGGGACAGAAGCCGCGCCGGGGTCACGCTCCTGTAACGTTCTTTGCTGTTTTTCTTACGAACTTGGATCGGTCTCGACGTCGAGGACGCCGGATTCCATGGGGATTGTTCCGCGCCATCAAAGAACTTAACGATGAACTTCAGAGAAAACAAGGGTTCCACAAAAAAGCAAATTATATCATCTTCATTGCGAACATTGTTAATTGTAACATTTTTAACAAAGTAACATTTTTGACAATTTAATAACAAAGGGTATCGTTTCCGTCAAGAAAGACTAAGAATTTAAAGGGTTATTAAGAAGTAAATTGTTGTGAATTTAAGAGAGGATATGAATTTAAAAGGTTGTAGATATTGTTGTTATTAGGATTATGTTACTGTTTCCTTTTGTGTATTTGTGTTTCGTAGCCGAGAACATAGTATGTGGGTACCGCCGCGAACGGTCTAATAAGAGTATGGCTTCAGACTTGTTTGTGTGTTTTTTCTTTCTCCATGCATTTTTGCAGCATAATTATGCATGTAAGCAGAGTGAAGCTGATTATGTTGATAGTTAAGCGAATGAGTTTGTAATTCATTGAGTGTTTCCAAAGTTTTGACAGTGGAGCCCCGAACTCACATGATAACACATTAGATGCTCACCTTGTCAGAAACATTTTTAACAATCAATCAATCATCATGTGGTGAAAATGATTATGTGAGTAATGGATATGAAAATGGAGAAGATGGCGGAACGAGAGGCTGGGTAAACGGGATAGCCCCGAAGAAACCTCTGAGTCCACCATGCATTCCTCTCAGATCAAAGATCAGAAGGCGAGCAGTCTGACGTCTACGCCACGCACCCGTGTTTAGTGGAGCTTATTGTTCTAGGAATATTTAATTAATTCAATAATTATATTACATGTTCTATAATGTAAAATTATCAGTTTGAATAAATGTGTAGAAAATATATGAGCTGTGTGTGTAGTATCCACAACGCATCCTTTAATATTGGCTGGAGAATGAAGAGTGTACGTTCATCAAGACATTTAAATAATGTCTAAGGTTAACACGCCTCTTCCCTTTTTATATTTACTGCTTTTCTGTTTATCAGCACTGAGATATAGAGTATTTATCACGTACCTTTGTCATAACTCATCGCTCCGAATCGCTCCACTATCTCGTCCGGGGTGTAGGCCGGCGTGGTCAGAGGCAACGCCGACGGCAGCGCGTCGACCTCGAATATCGATTGCTGAATGTCGACCAACAGTTGCTCCTCCATCCGCCAGTCGGGGTTCACCTGACCGGGAATCCAGTATTGAAAATATCGAGCGAACCCCTCGCTCAACCACGCGTAGTCCCACAGTTTGGGGGTGACCAGGTTTCCGAACCACTGATGCGCGATTTCGTGCGAGATGACCTCGGAGACGTACTGGCGGTCGTGCGCGGTACCCTGGTCGGGGTCAACCAGCAAAGTGTCCTCGCGGTAGGTGATCAGCCCCCAGTTCTCCATCGCGCCTGCGGTGAAGTCGGGGATTGCCACTTCGTCGATCTTCTCTATGTTTCCCTGGGCGAAGGGAATGCCTGTGTACTCCTCCATCACGCTCAGGATCTTCGGTGTCTCGCTTTGACTGAACTGCGCCTGCCCGGCGTCGATGTCTCCTTTCGGTGCCCACGACGTTATAGGGACGTCGGTTTCGGATGTTGCAGTGTGAGCGTAGGTGTCCTCCTCGTACACGAGGAACGCCAAGAGATACACCGACATCCTCGGCGTTTCTTGGAAAATGATCGTGTCGATTTTTCTTCCATTCCTAAACATGATTTCAAGATCGCGGTGGATGTGAAAATAAGGTAACACAACTGAAAATGTACTACAAATTATTTTATAGCATATAAATCACACTGTTCAGAGCGAAAAGTAAAAGAAATGTGAAAAATTGATTAGTAATAATTATCCAAATGTCATTCTCATAACTGTAAAACCATACATTAGTATGTCATCCGATTTTATAATAATTGCTAGAAATTGTTTTGATAAATACGATGAAACGTATTTTCCACATGGTATAATGAAGTAGGTTAAGTACTCGCGACGTTAAAAAATGTATTGTTAAACATTATACAATATTACAAAATTCGTACGGAAACCGAGCATCGTATAAAAAACTAGTTTGGATTGGGAGTCGCAATTAATGAAATCATTGAATGGCGAAAGCATTTTAGATTAATCTTGAAAGGACACTCATACTTACTCATTTCTAATTTTTCGATCATATACCGGTGTGTTGCTGAGAGCACTGAATCCAGGAGGAGGATCAATTGATAGTTGAAATGTGGCCTTGTATCTCGGTTCGTCGAAGGCAGGAAAGGCTTTCCGGGCATAAGTTGGTTCAAACTGAGTTGCGAAGAGAACGCTGGAATGATCAACAAAGTTTGATTCAGAAACACAATTTAATATCACACATCATTATACTGTTTATTTCGTCTCAAATATTTTTATTGAACTTCAATAGACGTTGAACCAAACTCTTCTTTTCACCATATTTCGGGGAAATGTAGTTAAAAGCAAAAATTCGCCAATAGACATTTCGAAATTTGTTCAACTACATGCGAAGATATTGTAATACATGAGATCTGTATATTTCGGAAACGATTAGTTTACTTTCTGACTGCTACCACTATATTTGAAAATCATAATATTAGTAGGAATTCAATACAAAAGAGAAAAATAACGTAAAAGGTGGTGTACTGAATAATGGAATAACGTAAAAAGTGAATGCACTGAATTCAAAGGCAAAATATGTTTTCGTAGAAACGTTTTAATTAAAAAAATATATGCATTTTTCACGCTTCGTTGGTTTAAGATTTTTGATGGTAATGAAAGTGTAGAGAAATTACCATATTATAATACTACACAGCTATTAGCTATATCGCGAGAAATTACGTCCTGGTGCAGTACCACTAGTTTACGACAGACTTAATCAAAACCAAAATTCTTTAGTCTTCAATTTTGCAGTTTTAAAATGTAAACGTTTTGCAATTTCCGAAGATATGGAGCGATAGCCAAATATGAGGCTAGTACCAAAGTTTTTTACTGTTCCTTATTACATACATGGAGAACATTTAAAGAAAAACATTCGAGCAGTTTTTTGATAAAATAATTTCATTTGTTTTAAATTGCTTATATTTCATCGAAAATTTCAGAAAAAATTCTTCCATTTTCGAAAACTTAATCCTTGTCTTATTTCAATATCTGTCTATAGGTATCAGACTTCATTCAGGAAAAAATATTTATCTTTAAAACTTTACTTGTAAGAAGAGAGCAGAAAAATTTTTAAATTTATACAATTTTTAAAAATTAGGAATTTTATCTAAATGAGACCTGGACAATTCCATTATGAGACCTGGACAATTCCATTAAGCGCATGTTACGGTAACTGAAAACCAAATTTAAAAAAAATGGCAGTAGCGAGAAAGTAACTAGTGGTGCACGTACTTTTCCACCCGTACTTTCCCGCAAAATTGTGCGAAGGTACTAAATTTTTCAAAAAAATTGATCGTGATCTTATTTCAAAATCTATCTTTGGGGAACTGATTTCATTAAGGGAAAAAATCTTGTCAAGGTTTTCAAAACTTGTGCTAAGTATTTGGACACATTATAAATCGCATGATAATATACACAAGAGCGATGTACCAATAAAGCTGGTGGTCTATTCTTATGTGACATATAATATGTTAAAACTTGCGACATGCGACTTATAAAGAGTTAAAATACTTAGCACAAGTTTTGAAAGTGTTGATAGCACATCAGTATACTTTCTGAGTAAATAGTAGTTTTGAGTTTTTTAAGAAAGTAACAGTGGTTAAATAGGATGAAGATATTATCTTGATATCATTGAACATACAGTGATTGTACCCATTAATTCTCGTAGCTTAATTACGAGTACACTGAATAAGATTTTATGGGAGAAACAGGAGGAATTACCGCTTCCAAATTCATAAAAAATGAAGTTAGTCACATTTTTGCCACAAAACAACATATTTAAATTTAATAAAACAGATTATCAACAAGTGGAGGGATTGCCCATAGTAGGTACATGCAACAGTGTGTTATCGGAAATAGTACTGAGAACAATTGAATGTGATGTTCTAGAAATACTGAAATTTCAATCTTATGGGAGGTATGTTGATGACATCTTCTTAATTGTTAATAAAAATAAAATTGAATATACTTTTGAAGCGTTCAATAATTACCATTCCCCGTATTAACTTCACGTTAGAGTACGAGAACTAGCGATCAATAAATTTTCTGGATACCACAGTATTTCGTCGAGGACATGTCTTGACGACGAATTCGTACATCAAACCCACATGTTCCGGGTTTAAGATCATTATCTATCGAACGAATATGTCAAAAAATGTACATTGGGCGACGATAGATGGCAGCAGGCAAGGGTATGTGGCAAGTTCGAATAGCAAACCAAAGAAAATAGAAAACTAATACGGGAAAGTCTGTGCCATTCTATAGCACCACTAGTTCTTAATGAAATTTGTTTGTCAAAATCAGATCTTCTAATGTCATATTGAATTATTGATAATGTGTGTATTTATTGAGTAATTTGGCTTCAAGCATGGTCGCTCGCTCCGAACTTCCTACGCTTTGTGAACATACACGAGAAGTGATTCCAGGCAGTTGGATGCTATGTAAGTTAGAATTTGTATGTTATATCATATTTCTTTGTTCAATTCTTACATTCGAACATCAGTCACACACTGAAGAGCCAATTCGAACTTCTTGAATTCTGTCTCGAAGAAATTCACTTATCTATGCCATTACCTGACTGTCAATTTTAGCATTCAATCTCGATTCATAACATGGCATATCTCAGTTGCTTTATATTTTTGCCTGTGACACCTGTAGTGTGAGTAGGCCCAGTCCGGCGGGAAGCAGGCTGCCTATGTGCTCCGATCGACAAACAATGTTTTTAATGTTATTTATGTTCCACTTTGAAATTTGCCATATATATATCAAACAATAGTATATAAATGTATAGATTATTTTTACGTCAATTCAAGTCTCGGCTAATGTGAAAAATTGCATAACTAGTTTTTAAATATTTAAATAATATGTTTATAAAAAATCACATTTACGTGACATGAAAGTATAATTTTTTACGTTTAATTTAAGTGTAATTTTATTTTCCTCAAGGAAACGGTACTTGCGCAAAAAATGTTTAAATATTAGCGCGCGCAAATTTGTTCCGAAAAAAATTGTAAAAGCTGAAAATATGAGTAAGATTAGAAAAAAAGAAAAATATACGTCACCTATTTTCAACTAGACCTAGACCTAGATCTCAGATAAGCCGTTTAAGTCGCTAAAATATAGGGACGATTTGTGAGTGTGCAATTTGACGGTGAATGACTCATGTATGGTTGTATGTGATTCATGGATGGTTCTAGGGTTGTCCAGACACAGAAGTTGCGAAATCAAATTAATATTAGGGGCCAGCAAACCGTACAATTTTTACTTCAAAATCTCGACGTCGTTTTTTTGCATCATTACAGTTCTTTTCTCTTTATTACGTATCGGAGAAAAAAAAATTTAAAAGTACATCAGTTGATTTTGTCAAAAATGTAATTACAATCCAAGAAATAAAATTGATCTGAAAGTTCTTTAGCACAGAGCAGTTACATAAACTTACCGTGTATTTGCTTCTCCTACGTTGTTGATATAATTATAGGTACTTTTGTAAAAACCTTCCATTCTCTCTGGAAATTTTCCAGTGTATGTTATTTGTATGTTGATTTCTTCCTTCTCTTTTAGAGTATCGAATAGATAGATAGTAAGGAATTCCTTTTCTGTATTCTTCGCATAAGTTAGGTCCATAAGAATTCCTTTACGCTTCACGTTAAGTTCAGTGATCTGAAAATTCCATAACAGAAACACATAGGTAATCGAATATTGGTATCACAAACTATACAAAATTACTGGAGCAACTCGTAAAACACGTATTTTCTCTCCTGTACTTTAACACAAAATTACACGAAACGTACTCAGATTTGCGAAAAATAGTACATGATAGTTTGACATAGTTTCAAAATTTATTCAGTAACATATTTCTTTAAGGGAAAAACTCTCTAACTCCATAACAATTATTCATATCAATTACATTTATAGTAGTTGTAGGAAGTCGCCGAAACAGTTTTGAATTCTTGCAATTTTCGAAAAATCAGAGATTTTAAAGTACGCGAGACCTACATTATTCTTTTAAGCGCCTTTTACATTATCCCATAACAAAGTTAAATCAAAAACGTGCGAGCAATTTTTTTGGAAATTTTGAAAATGTCCCAGAGGCTTCACATAAATACCTCTCGAAATTAAAATTATTTTGAAAATAATCGCAGCGCTTGGAGTCGAGCCAAAACGATCGCCGAATATCCATTTCAAGCAAAAAATCCTACGTATGGTTTAGGCACTAGTGGTGTTCAGAGATGGACGGTCGGACGGACGGTCGGACGGGCGGTCGGACGGACGGTCGGTCGGTGGGACGCTCGGACGGTCGAACGGTTGAACTGTCGGATGAATAGCCGGACGAACACGGGTGGACGGACACGGGCGGACGGACGAACGAATAGACTGACGGACGGACTAAGGGACGGGCAGACGGACAAACGCACAAAGATGCGAACAGTCGGTTTGACAGACCGACAGGCGTTTCGAAAAAAACAATTTTTCGGTATCAGCAGCCCTCAAAACGTATATTTCCTTTGAAACCCCGAAATCGATTTTCCGCAGCATAAAATAGCTTTCTCTTGACTATAAATAGTACTCTGTATATACATATGTGTGCGAGAAAGTAAGGAGAAGTGTTACAGAATGGAATGACCTCTATCGTACTACTAGTCTTCTTATTTCTTTGGTCTGGAGTAGCTTTTCGGTCTTACCACATATTTGTGCCAGCTGCCATCTATCGCCAGTCTTAGTACATTTTTTAAAAATATTTTTCTGTTTCCTAACACCAGAACAAAAATATTACTTTAAAAATATTTTAGAAGAGTATAATCTCGTCCTATGAAGAAATTTTCGTTGAACACTTTGGATCTGGTTTTAAGAAAATGGGTTTAAAGTGTAACTATAAATTCGAAATTTAAAGCTCATTTTCACAAAAAATTTTGAATTTTCGAAAAACTTCATTTAAAATCATTTGTAGCACTTCCACTTACAAATGCAATAATGAACACAAATCGCTTGATATGTGTATATTAAAGGAATGAGGTATTCTTTTCTGAGCTTGATGAAAGAAGTTACTAGGGAGAAAAAAATATTTCAAGAAAAAATCTTCTATTTTGTTATTCTACGAATACGTAGAAAATATTTCAAACTTTTGAAATTTTTAGAAATTTTGGAGTTAATGCTGAGAAACGGACCTACGACATCTCTTTAAGTGCAGTTTACTGTGTTCTTTCAAAAACAATTTGCCGCAATCTTTAGAAAATTGTATGCGATTACGTCGCACACAGGGAAGAACTGTAGAAAAGTTACGAAAATACAGTATGTTCATGAATATACTTATGTTTTATATTCAGCAATATCATATGCATATGATTATGCATAAGCAATCTCGCAAAAATGCTATGCTATGATTATGCATAGTTATAAGAATAACCCCAAAAAATGTATCAAATACTGTTTCCAAAAATAATCAATACTCCCTCTCCTCTTTGATGTTTTCGTAGATATACCTAGACATATTTATAAGAAAGTACTTTGAATGCCTTTAATTGATAGTCACAAGCAATTTTTTTAACGATCAGTCAACATGATGTTCTTTAAGCAATAACAATTCTTCCAATTCTTACCGAACTTGCCATGTTGTCTACAATGCAATCTTCGCGTTTTCATTCTAGCCCGCTTTTCATACAACGAGAATTTCGAAGCATTTTATTAATAAAGGGCAACATAGTATACGTGATCTTCAATTCTATTATTATATTTTTTTGACATTTATTTGTTAAAACCCTTATGGGAGCCGATTTGGAGGGACATCAAAATCTTTTTCCTTCGAGCTTTAATACATATGACGTACGTAGTTACACGTAAATCGACTTTTGTCTCTTCCGGGGGTCCAAAAACATAATGTTCGGCAAATTTTTTTGCAACAACACAATACTTTCTCTCCCTACGAAATAGATTCGAGTTACTAGAGGTGCTACAGAATGGAGCACACTTTTTCGAACTAGTTTTCTAATGTCTTTGATCTGGGCTAGTTTATCGGTTTCCCCCCATCCTCTGCCAGTTATCATCTATCATCGACCGAAGTACATTTTTTTCTCTAAATTTTTGGTTTCCTACTGGTAGAACAGAAATATTACTTTAAGAATATTATAGAAAAGTAAAACCTCGTTCTATATGGAAATTGTCGTTGAAAAATTGAGAGCCGTTTTTATGAAAATGTCGTTTAAACGTTAGTGCATGTAAATGCGAACATTAAAGCTTTTTTTTCACAGAAAACTTTTGACTTTTCGAAAAACTAATTAGAAGTCATTTGACGAATTTATACTCACAAATGCAATAATGTATACAAATTTCTCGAAATACTGACATTAATGACGTGAGAGATATTTGAAGAAATTACGTTTGCGTAATATTCGAAAAAATACAGCAAAATGCATTTTATGTCATCTTAAACACGGCAATTAGCACTATCCGTATAAGAAATTTAAAAAAAATTGGAACAGGGTTTGAGAAAACAGCGTTTGAGCGTTTCTGAAAATGTGGAATTTTGATTTATGAACGCCCACAATTTCAGACAGACAATACTTATACTGTAACCATTTATTATATCCCTATATTTAACGTTTCCGAGCTCTTTGTGTTACGTTTCAGATAAAATTCCAATCATTATTCCGAAAAACAATCCACCACAATTTTGAGCACATTTTCATAGAATCATTTTGTTTTCGAGAAACTTTATAAGACATCATTTGAAGCACATGTACTCATAAATGCAATAATGTGAACAAATCGCCGTGATAGACAAGTAAAAATAATTGCAATTATTGAAAAATAAAAGGTTAGAGCTAAAAGGCGTTCTGATAGGGAACATTGAGCACTATCCCTACCAAAATTTCAAAGAAAGAATTTGAAACCATTATTGTGAAAATATCGTTTTTAACATTTTTAATTTTGCACATATTTCATGCAGTATTGCCCGCAAACTACTAAGAATGTCAAAAAAATACACATTTAATGAAAGAAATAATTACGGAGAAAAAAATTCCATGAAGAAAAAATATCTATCTTCAATTTTGTAATAGTTGGAATCAATTTCAAACATTTGAAATTTTCAAAAATTCAGAGTAAACAGTAAAAAACCGTTCGCCATCTTTATAAGTGTATTTTACTCTATTCTTTCAAAAAATTACAACAAATTTGGTGCCATTTTGAGAAAATTTTGAAAATGTCCCTGGGGCTTTATGTAAAGTATCCCCAAATTTTAAAGAATGTTTTTCAAAATCTCAGCGCTTCTAGTCGAGTCAGATCAACCGGGAAAGACGGACGGACGGACGGACGGACGTTTTGTCGTCAATCGTTTTTTCGGTATCAGGGAGGGACAGGGATTCTGGATACAACATGTGTAAGAGGAAATTTTTTTTCTAATTTCAGCAACTGGTTATCCACGCTTTGTTATCAGGACCAGGCAATGAGCGTTTTTCTGCGGAAAATTCGCCGTTTTCCCCTCAGCATTACATAAACTCTACTGCGCACGCTGTAGCGAGAAAGTAAAAACCCTAACAATTGAAATAATTATAAACGTTGTTATTGCCAACAATAGTTTTTATTATAAGAGCAGCTTTCGATGGTTTTCCATCATCATCAGTTGATTACACTTACATCAGTTGATGATGATGGCTAAGCCATCGAGAGCTGCTCTTATAATAAAAACTATTGTTGGCAATGACAACGTTTATAATTATTTCATGAAAAATGCCAACGATAACGCACCACAACACCTACACCCTAACAATTGCTTTTCACGATTACCACTATGTTATTGGAGGCGTGCATGACAATGGTGGAGATGTCTCTGACGACGTGCGCCGTGATGTCCACGGTTCCGTCGAAGTAGAGCTGATCCGTGGCGCTGCTGCCCGGCCTGCGCGGGGCGATGTGGACGGCGTAATGCGCAGGCACCACGTCACCCGGCAGGCGGTAGGTGCTGTCGCGAGGCGCCGCGCCTGCCTCTGCGTTGGCTGGCGGGGACCCTCGCGCTGTCGCCACGGCCGCCGCGAGCAGCACAAGCAACAGACCTGCCTGCGCGCCCTGCATTCTGAAACGCGCGGCGGAAGTTAATCGAGGGGGAAATGATTCGGAAGAACACGAGAGAGGAGATGAAGGCAACGGATGGCGTGGCGAAGCAGGACCATAAAAATGTTTAATGATTAATGACACTAAAATCATAAAAGACAATGGGAGACGTGATAGATGGGGGAGATCATGGCGAGGGAGAACTATTTCGCAGACAGCGGTGGAAAGGATGATAGACGGAAGATGGATCCAGATGATGAGGGACCGTGGACAGCGCGAAATTCGTATGTTGCGTATGTTGTACCCCAACAAGAAAATAAACTCCCGCCTCACCAGGGCTACTGGCGGGGGGAAAGTTGAAGAAAAAAAAAAGAGCGCGAAATTCCAGGCTTACTTGCTTTAGTTTTGGTGACTTCATTTCTTCATGCAAGCGTGGTGTGGTGAAGGTTGACGAAATGATGAAGACGGTTGTCGAGATGATGGTGACGATTGACGAAATGATGGGGATGATGGAAACATTTGACAATAGGAGGGAAAAGTTAGACAATTAAATAGATAATCCAAAAATTCATTCTGTGAATACATTCTCCAGAGAAAAGTTGATTAGCTCTCAAAAAAGGCGGGAGAGACATCCACAGCGAGAAGTCCCACCTTTTTTGAAAAATAATATTCACTCTCGCCTTGCTTTGAGATGAATGTTGATTTGCAATTGGTACAAAATACAAATTTACCTATCCCAATTTTCATAAAATATTCAAATCCTTCTTTTCCATGAGTTTTTAAATCATTTTTTACTCTGAGTTACACCAACACTCAAAATATAAGCAAAGATTTCGAGAAAAGTTTTTTTTTAAATCTTGTATATTATTTAAGACTGCTAAAATGGATGATGCATACATTTCAACCTTACCTGCCACTTTCGGAGTCGCAGCTGACACGGATATGGTAGCGTGTTGCCCAGGGCGCACCTATATTGCCGACTGCTTACAAAGATAAATCCAACTGTTATCATTGCATATCTTCCTATCAAGCATTGATATCATGCCCACTTGATCATTTCACTTTTGTCTTCGTGTGCTACTTGAACACCGCAAGCGCCCTGTATCCTCTCCAAAGGCACGATGCATTTGTATATTTTATTACGAAATGTTTTTCAGCCATGAAACGTTAAAACTGTGGCTGCTACTTGAAGCGCGGCGTAGTTGGCATTGTTTTCGTGAATAAATATTACGCCTTTGTGAACAGAGAATTTGAACGACAACAAAAAATGCAAGACTATTCTTTAAATGCTATTAAATGAGGTACAAAACTGTTTCATTCCATTTACTTTCTCGCACTTCCTTTGTAAGAAGGGAAAGTTTTGTTATCACCGCGAAATTTTAGGCAAACAAACTTATTGCCCGCTTTGATTTCGTAAAAGTGGATAAATCCTGTTCGTATGTATAGTGAATTACTTCCCTCGTGGTGTAGCCAGAATAAAGGTTTTGTGGGTCCTTGATATCGAAAAATTGATTGACGGCAAAACGTCTGGTGCCGTACGTTTCTTCGCCCGTCTGTGATCAATTCTAACGCATAAACCGTTCTGCCGTTTTTCTCCAAAACTGATATTCCCTCATCGATCTGAACGAAATCGAGGCTTCGGGATTTCAAACGGATATTATATAGCTATAATTTTTTTTTATTAAACATTATCCTCGGATAGCTCCAGAGAATGGTGCAGGTCTGTTCGTTGAAATCCCAGATTTTTTGAAAATTACTAAAGTGCAATTATTTTGGCATCTTGCTACTGCAATATTAATTATTAACTGCAACATTAATTATAATAATTTTTATCTTAATGAAATATGTTCTTTAAAGACAGATATTGAAAAAAGGTTATTTTCAATTATTCGAAAATAAGAGTTGTTTTCTTGAAATTTTGCGCGAAATTTAGGCTATTTTAATTTTTTAAACAAGTTTTTTTTTATTGAAAGTCACTCCAATTTTTTTCCATCTGTAGAAGGGACACTTAAAAGAATAGCATGTATTTCATTTTCGTTGAACTCTAAGAATTTTCCAAAATTAAAAATTTAGAATTAATGCGGGAAAGTATATATAGTTGTTTCACCTCTAATTTACTTTCTCGCCTTTACAAGAAGAGAAATAATTCTGAAAGGGCGAATTTTCTTCAAACTTTTTGCCGGGTCCTGGGAACAAAAAAATGGATAAATATTTTTCCTGTATGTAGTAAATTACTTCCCATGATATTTTTATCACTGCACCCCAATTGAAATTTTGAAATGATCCGCTGCCAATAAAACTACTCTTAGTAGAGAAAGGTTCAGAGAGGATGTATACTGCAGGAAGTGCATACAGCGGTAGTTACCATGAATCACATTCTCGGTCAATGCATTTTTACGAAGCCAGCAAGAATAAAGCGTCATGATGATATCAAGAACTTCATAGAGGGAAAGATGCTCCGGAAATCGGACACAGTGGTATCCACGGAAGCCACTTTCTCCGTTGCCAAAGGGGTTAACTCAAACCTGACCTGGTAATAAAAAGCCGGGAAGGGGTCCACGTGGTCGTGTGACTGTCCGCTACGAGGATGGATCTAGCGTTCTAAAAGCGAGGGAGGAAAAGGTGGTAAAATACCAACCAGTTACCCCCCTGGCAGTCCAACTTTAACCCAACGTCAGAATCCTGCTAGTGGTGGTTGGAATCTCTGGGGCTATGCCAAGATCCACAGTCAGTGTTCTCAAGACCCTGGGGATCACGTCTCGAGGCGATCTACTGGCTATCTCCCATCTTTTTGAAAAACAAATATTCATTCGCACTATCCTTTGAGATTAATTTTGATTTGAAATCCATACAAAATACAAATTCACACATTCGACTTTTCGGAAAAAAATTCAAATCCTTATCTTCCACAAGTTTTTAAACCATTTTGCACCTTGAGATACACGAACACTCAAATATAAGCAAAGATTTCGAGAGAAGTGGTTCTTGAAATATTTTATACTATTTAACACTGCTAAAATAGAACGCCCTGATGCATTCATTTCAACCTTACCTACAACTCAAATTCTAATTGTTCTCAGAAGCTCTATTAAACTCTACACACAATTTGTAAATTAAGATGGAGCAATTTAGCATTACTGCTAGCAGAAAAGGAACTTCATTGTTCCGTGGGGAAGTCTAGGGAACCCAGTGGAATCCTAGGTACCCCTGGGTAATTTAGGATCCCCTGAGGGGATCCTAAAATACCTAGGAATTACTTAGTTACCATGACTGTAAGTGGTTAGTGTATTCTATTTAAAGTAGCATAAAGAAAATTGTGACGTCAGAATTCATGTTTTGGGATACTTGATACCGAAAAATCGATTGACGGCAAAATGTGTCTGTGATCAACGCTAGCGCCAAAACCGTTCGGCCGATTTTCTCCAAACTTGACATGCTTCGATCGATTTAAATGAACTCGAGGCTTAGAATTTGAAACATATATTAATTTTGGGAGGGGGGAGATTTTACACGAAGCCTCAATTATATTACCAAGCCTTTGTCAAAAGTGGCTACAATTGTTTTTCCATTAAACTATGCCCTCGGATAGTGTAAAAGCCACTTCAAGGCTTGTATTCGGTAAAATCTTTATATTTTGGAACATTGCAAAACATAATTATTTATTTAAAAATTGGAAAATGTTTACATTGTATTGACCCACTACTTGGTCTTTACTTTTCTCCCCACCCTTGCATTAAAATCGCCATGTAAAATTAATTCCTTTCTTTACCTAAAGTTTAAATTACTTCACAGAATTTAGTATAGAATTCGTCCTTCACCAATAAAGATGGCGTCATCGTTTGGAGCGTATACACCAACAATCATAAAACTAATATTAAAAATGTCCTGATCCAAAGGTTATTATTCTTTCATTTATAACATGCCAACATTTAGCACGTTTCTTCCATTTCTTATGTAACAAAACAGAGACTCCGCCTTTGCTTGCGGATGTTTTTCCACACAACAAAACCTAGTGGTGCTACAACAGCACATACTTTCTCGCGTTCTTGGAAACGGCTACCTAACATTGAAAGATTGCATTTTCTGCGCTACTAACACCTCAGCTATTAATAGAGAACGTGCAATTCAACCAAGAACCTAGCAACGCACTGTTGCCAGCGCAGCGTTGTCAAAACTATGTGCATTCACTAATAATATCAAATATAAAATTGAGAGTGTTAAAATATAATTAATATTCTCATTTTCATTAGTAAATTATAATTAAAATTAAATTAATTAATTTCCCAAATTATTTATTCATTTTTTCTCATGGCCTGTAGTTGGTGTGAAACCTGTATATATTTGATTAATTTAAGCAGAAATTACGCAAAAACTACTCTTTTTTCAAGAAATTATACATGACCTTTTTTCAAGAGCTTATTTTGTGAAACAGACTTAGGGCCTGTTTCACTGGTGCCTGATAAAGTGTCTGATAGTCTATCCAGAAGTTATCTTACTGATACGTTGAAAATTTGTGTTTTACGTGTACCTGATAAATCTACCCAGTGGTTAAAGTACCCGGTAAATTATCTGGAGGTTCGAGAGGCTATTAAATGTTTATCTGGCAGATAACTCAAAAACAGAAATTTTGTATGAACTTGCTGTTATTTTCAAGGAATATTTGTGGTATTTCGGTGATGGATAACATAATATAGATGATAGACGACGAATTCTTTGATGGTTTAGAGCGTCCGACTAGATGGCATGTCAGCCAGAATATTTTGTGATCCTTGGCGAACAAGATTGCAAATTTCGCTTGAGGTTTCGGAAGCCTACACTTAAAAATATGGTATGTCTGTGAAGAACAGAAAATAAAAACAAATGATTTGTGAGTACCAACCTATATTTCTGTAATGCCCTGGTTAAGCAATCGTCCCGTTAAATTAATTTTATTCTAAAATAATATTATGTATACTTTGTGTTTTGTTAGAATATTCTGAGGTATCACCTATGAACCGACTCACTCTGCGTTATTTTGCAAT